ACGTTTAATGATTTTTTGGGTGCACAAGAACCCCTAAAACTCACGTCTTAGATGGCAAAACGGGTTGAACCGTTAAGACCCCAACACAGTCTCGAACTTTTGAAACAAAGAATTGCAACAACTTGACTAGTTAATTCTTCATGTTTTCGAGTCAGGCAATATTAAAGAGCAAGTGCAGACCTTTGATTTTGCCAATGTTGCATCTCTCTTAACAGCTTCATCAATTAAAGAAACGTGGTCTACAAGATCATTTTCAGAAGGCCTGGGCTCAAACAAGCTACAAGTGGCCAAAAATGTGAAAAATGCAGTATAAAACAAAGAGATATTGAACATGTAGCAAAGTCTGAATTAACAACCTGAAGACTTTACCCAAATGATCCCACAAAGCTTTGTGGGACGTTCCTGGATTCCTTTTCACAAGATGTAGGCAGTGCACCGTGATTAAGATCGTCCTAATTATATTCTCAAAAGCCTTCCTTGGATTCAGAAGCCTGATCCAGTAATTCTCTTTCGTTAACACCGAAATCTCAGGCTTCTCATTAGAAAGATCAAACTTCCAAGCTACAACCTGCTTATAGATTTTCTGAAGTCCTTTATCAAAGGACCCACGTAAGAAGATCTGCTTTTGCTTCCCATCTGAAGTCTCAACTTTCTTCCACTGAATTGGTAACTCCGCAAAGGAAATGGGTTCATCCTCACCATCCACAAATTCGTAGATTCCTACGGAACGTGGTGGTGCTTCACCTTCGTCATCCAAAGAATCCGTCTGTTTCTTGGGCTCACTTTTCTTCAAAACCCTGACATATTTACGAAATAAAGAATTAAAACACAGCAACAACAAGAGAGAGTGAGCTAAGATTTGGTCAAGCTATGATGGTTAATTGATTATTTAACATATTTCAGATTTCTCGAATGAATATCAGCAAAAGATAATTTTAAAATCCAGAAATTCACTATGATTTCAGTTTCAGTTTACTACTGCTCTATTCATCAAGAATTTCAAAAACTAAATTAGTAGCACGGGCGGAGCCACCTGGGCTCTACTGGGGGGAAACTGCCTCCAATTGATTTTGGTCCTAGGAATTTCACCGATTCCAAATGAGGTAGCCGAGGCCAGTTCTAAAGGCAAGGAGAAAACCATAAACAATCAAATCAAAAATTCAAGATGGATGTTGAGAAAATAGCTGTTGCTAAGGAAGATTACCATCAATGAACAACAGTTTTGGAAGGAAAAAATAAATTCTTAAATCATTCACAACAATCAACTCGAAAGGAGTGCGAAATCAAAATATAAACTATAAAACCCCTTTTTACACGAATAAATCTGATTCTACCTTCCAATTTGAGTTATCCTCCAAGAAATCACGCCAACACAAGAAGAATTGGTGACACGGTCCCTCTCTTTCACGATAAATTGTTCCACATTTTTACATTTTCACTGTAAACTAGTTTTTATCCGTGCAACGGGTTGTCTTATTTTGAAGGACGGTTTTGAACAAAATAGAAAAATGATAACTTATACCCCGTTTGAACCCCATTATTATTTTCATTCTCATTATTTTACTCATTTTTAATCATACATTCTTCAATAAAATAACATTTTTATCACATTAATAATTTTTCCTTCTTTTTCAACCACAACATATTCACCATCACATCACCAAAAAATACATTTTTTCAAAATACAAAAACTAAATTCAAAAACTTGACTATGTAGACGGCTAGCCAAAGATGTACCATCCATTCTTGCTGCTCATAAGAATGTGGTTATTAACTTGTCTCCGTGAAAGTGCTTCATATTTTTTTGTTGCTCAGAGTGAATGTCCGGATCAGCTTACGCGCACATCTATCAATTAGTGACTAATATAATTAGGCACATATTAATAGTTGAACTGTGAGTTGATGGGAAAAATTGCGATGCATTGAGAGCATCAATGAGCAAGCTGAAGTGGCGCTTTCGATTTTTTGTTGGATTACAAAAGTGCTTCATATTTTTTTGTACCTCACATGGAACATTTTACTCCTGACTAATATAATTAGACACGTATTAGTAGTTGAACTGTGAGTTGATGGGAAAGATTGCGATGCATTGAGAGCATCAATGAGCAGGCTGAAGTGGCACTTTCGATTTTGTCGGTGTTTGAAACAATTTTGCCTTCTCCATATTACTATATCTCTAGTTACATACACACCTTCTATTTCATAAAATTCCATGCAGACATTGATTTGTGATGATTTCATAAATACAGTGATAAATGAATTATTTCCAAAAATACTATTTTTATTACACGTTTCACTCTTTTTTATAAATTGTTAACAAACGTATTATTAGTTTTTAATACTTGTAACACAATTTGTTATACATTTGTAAAACATGTAATACAACCATGTTGCGTGCATAACAAACTTTGTTATGTTTGTAACATACGTGTAACAAATTATATTGTGCTCATGTTATACATATAACACGCTACATTGCATGATGAGATGCAAAATGTCATATCGTCAGCAATCATCATAATTTCTATTAGGCCCCGTTTGATAGCGCACATTTTCCATGGAAAAATTTTCAATTTTCCAAGTTTCCAAATTTTTCACCTTTTTGAGGAAAATAAATTCCTGGTCTTTTGGTGTGTAAATATTTTCCATTTTTTTTTTTGCAATTGAAAAAAATTCTGGACAGTGATAAAATTTTTTTCACTTTTATTGACAATTTATACGCAAAACAAAGCCAAACGAATGGTATTCGGTATTATTATTTTTTTTGGCAATTGGAACAAATTCTAGATTCAATGGTAAAAAAATGTTATCACTTTAATGGACAATTTTCATAAAAAACGAAACCAAACGGATACCAAACTTTCAACATTTTTCATGAAAGATTATACTAATGAAACACAGTTAATTACAATTTTCAGTAAAATCAATTCCCTGAAAAATATTTTCTTTCCACCTCTGCAATCAAGCGGGCCCTTAGTGATCATTTAATCTATTAATTTTTGTAATTGTTAAAAAAAAAAAAAACTCATTGCTAAGGCCTAAATTGTTTGGAAAACCTTTGCATGATCCAAGAAGGGCTAAATAACATACCATGATCTTGGCGTGCTTGCCATCTAACCAATCAATCAAGAAGTACCAGAACACGACTAGAATATGCAATTTCATTTCAAACGAAACATATGGCACTAAAGTTTTAAGAATAGCTCCACCAGTTTCTTGCCTTTTGATATCATTGCCCTTGGCTATTAACATAAAATGCCGACAGTTCTAGCCCAAATCAATCAATTCGAAGACTAGCGTACATTTGAAAAATTATCCACCGTCATCAACCAATTTTGCTTGCATAAAGGGACGTATTGAAGATAATTTAAATAAATAAGTGTGCGTTTTTCGTAACGCTTTAACTTTTAGATACGGTGGTTCAAATTAGTCAACATTGGGAAAAGACGCCAGTTTAGCATACTATGCAAAGAAAATGATGCCCTTGATGTCACTTCATTAATTGTGAATAATTTATTTTTCGAGTGAGAATATAAACCTGAATGAACTGTAGATCCCTTTTCACATGTGTGAAGATACACAAATTGCTTGAATTCAAGCTCTCCAATTGCTATTTTATTTGGTAGATCACAGGCCTCTTGGATTGTACTACATGGTCGTGGGTAAGACCCTAGCTCATGGATGGTGTATCTACTGGGTTTAAGATCGTGGGTGCGTGTAAATTGCTCCAAACTACATGAAGATTCTTTTCTGTAAAGATACCTGCTGGTTCTGATTGTACAACTGTTGTTGCCCTTTCCGTGGGATCGGCATTTCACAGGAAGCATTTGAAAGTCTTGCATTAATTCAACTTGAAAGAATTAGATCTATACTTCCTGTTCCATTTCTTTTGATGAAGTACAACTCTTTTTATTTTGAGTTGCTCGATTTTCTTGATGATAGTGAGGTCTCAGGTACTCTCTCCAAGGGTGAGTTAGCATCATTGTCGAAAGTTTGTGATGAAGATTTTGAAATTCTTGCATTGATTCAACTTGAAGAATTGGATCTATGCTTTGTTCCCTTTGTTTTGATGAACTACGACTCTTTTTATTCGAAGTTGTTCGATTTCTTGATGGTTGTGAGTCTTGAGTACTCTTTCCAATGGTGAGTTAGAATCATTGTCAAAAGTTTGTGACAATAACTCAAGAATCTTTGGCTTATCTCGTGACGATCACTTAGTTCATGTTTAGTCCTCATTTCTTAGAACTTATTTTTCTTTAAAGATCCACAAATTTATCAATTTTACCTATGTTGCTTGGACACTTCAAAAATGGAGAAGTATCAGTATCAACATGATATGATATGGATACTGACACGGGATATTGGTCAGATACTTGGTCTTGCACTCGGACATGATGGCAGAGAAGACAGTGGATGGCGACAGCAAACCCATTTACTTCGAGTCTTATGGTAGTACTTTGCAAAAATTTATGGAGAATGTTACGGAAATAAAGGAGAAGAAAAGCAGCCAACATGAGCATGTCAGTAGAAATGGGAAGATAAGATGGAGAAGACGAGGAATAAGTTATGTTTAGTCCTTTTGGTGGGTGTGAAATGGGCTTTTGTCAAGCCC